GTAGCCATTCAGCCACAGGCCAGCCCCTATAACGCACTGTTTTAATATCATGAAAGGGGTTTTTATTTTTTGTTGAGGTTTTTTTGTTGAATTTGTGGAGGTTTCTTTTTTTTTTATTGTTGAGCTCTAGGATTTAAAAAAATATATTCTGGATACTAATCCTTGATCAGATTTATAATTTGCATATATTTTCTCCCCTTCTGTGGGTTGCCTTTTAACTGGTACACACGAGTTTTTATTTTGATGATGTCCAATTGGTCTATTTCTTCTTTTCTTGCTTTTGTTTTTGGAGTCTTATCTAAGAATCCATTGTCAAATCCATGGTTATGAAGATTTACCCTTATTTTTTTCCTAACAGTTTTATGGTTTTAGTTCTTATATTTAGGTCATTGATCCATTTTGAGTTAATTTTTGTATACTATACTATATATATGTATACATATATATATGTATAATATAAAATTAATATTTTGTATTTTGGTGTGATGTAGGGGTCCATCTTCATTCTTTGCATGTGGAAATCCAGTTTTCCCAGCACCATCTGTTGAAGACAAAGTTCTTTCCTCCACTGAATAAATTTACCACCCTTGCAAAAGTCAATTTGCCATAAAAGTATGAGTTTATTTCTGGACTCTCACTTCTGTTCCATGGGTCTTATGTCTACCCTTATGCCAGCACCACACTGATTTGAATACTGTGCCTTTGTAGTAAGTTTTGAAATTGGGAAATGTGTGTCCTCCAACTTCATTCTTGTTTTTCAAGATTATTTTGTCTGTAACGGGGCCCCTTGCAATTCCACGGGGATTTGAGGATTGACATTTCCATTTCTGCAAAAATGTGCTGTTGGGATTTTGATGGGGATTGCGTTGAGTCTGTCGCTCACCTTGGGTGGTACTGACATGTTAAATTATGTCCTCCTGCCCATGGACAGAAGATGTCTTTCCGCTTATTTATGTCTTCTTTTCTTTCAGTCGTGTTTTGTAATTTTCAGTGTACAAGTATATCACCTCCTTGGTTAAATTTATTCCTAGTCATTTTATTCTTTTAGATGCCATTTTAAATGAAATTGCTTTCTTAATTTCCTTTTTGGATTGTTCATTGCAGATGCATAGAAACATAACTGATTTTGTTTGTTGATCTAGTACCCTGAAACTTTCCTGAATTTGCTTGTTAGCTCTAGTGGCTTTCTTATGAATTCTTTGGGATTTTCTGTATACAAGACTATATCATCTGCGAATAGAGACAGTTTTACTTCTTTCTTCCCATTTGAATATCTTTTGTTTCTTTTTCTTGTCTAAGTCCTCTGACTAGAACTCCCAGCACAATATTCAATAGCAGTGGTAAGAGCAGGCATCCTTGTCTTATTCCTGACCTTAGAGGAAAAGCTTTGTCTTTCCCTGTTGAATGTGATGTTAGCTGTGGGTTTTTCATAAATGCTGTTTATCGTGTTCAGGAAGTTCCCTTCTATTCCTAATTTTATGAGTGTGTCTACCATGAAAGGGTGTTGGCTTTTGTCAAATGTCTTTTCTATGTCAATTGAAATGATGATGTGTTTTCCCACTTTGTTCTATTGATGTAGTGTATCACATTGATTGATTTTCTTGTATTGAATCACCCTTGCTTCCCGGGGTAAGTGCTACGTAGTCATGGTGTAAAATCCTTTTAATACACTGTTGGATTTGTCAGTATTTTGCTGAGGGTTTTTGCATCAATATTCATAAGAAATATTGTAGTTTTCTTTTATTGCGATATCTTTATCTGGTTTTGGTAGCAGAGTAATGTTGGCCTCAGAGAATGAATTAGGAAGTGTTACTGCCTCTTCAATTTTCTGAGAGAGTTTGAGAAGATTGGTGTTAATTCTTCTTTAAATGTTTGGTAAAATTCACCAGTGAAGCCATCTGGTCCTTGAGCTTTTCTTTGTTGGGAGTTTTTTTTATTATTATTATTGTATCAGTCTCCTTATTTATTATAGGTCTGTTGAGATTTTCTTTATCTCTTGAGTTAGTTTAGGTAATTCCTGCACTTCTGGGAATTTGTTCATCTTATCAAGATTATCAAATTTGTTGGCATACAATTTTTAATAGTATTCTCTTATAATCCTTATTTCTGTAAGGTCAGTAGTAACGCCCTCATTGTATTTCTGATAATAGTTATTTGTGTCTTCTCCTTTTTTTCTTTGTTAGTTTAGGTAAAGGCTTGTCAATTTTGTGGATATTTTCAAAGGACCAACTTTTGGGTTTATTGTTTTTCTATTCTCTGTTTTTCTTATCTCCATTCTACTCTATAATTTCCTTCCTTCTGCAAGCTTTGGGTTTAATTTGCTCTTCTTTTCCTAGTCCCATAAGGTGTAAGTCTAGGTGTTGATTTGAGATCTTTATTCTTTTTTAATGTAGCTGTTTAAAGCCCTAAATTTACATCTGAGTACAGCCTTTGCTGCACCCTGTAAATCCTGTATGTTGTGCTTTCATTTTCAGTCGTCTCTAAGTATTTTCTAATTTCCCTTCTGATTTCCTCTTTGACCCATTGTTTGAGAGTGTGGTGTTTAATTTCCACATATTTGTGAATTTTCCAGCTTTCCCTCTGATACTAATTTCTAGCCTCATTCCATTGTGGATAGAAGATACTTTGTATTATTTCCATCTTTTAAAATGGGGGCCAGCTCCATGGCCGAGTGGTTGGGTTTGTGCGCTCTGCTTCGGTGGCCCAGGGTTTTGCCAGTTCAGATCCTGCGCACAGACGTGGCACCACTCATCAAGCCATACTGAGGTAGCATCCCACATACCACAACTACAGGGACCCACAGCTAAAAAAAATACGCAACGAGGTACCGGGGGACTTTGGGGAGAAAAAGGAAAAATAAAATCTTTAAAATGTATTGACTTGTTTTGTGGCCTAACATATGGTCTGTCCTGGAGAATGTTCTATGTGCACTTGAGAAGAAGGTATATTCTGCTGTTGCTGGGTGGAGCGTTCTGTATGTCTGTTAGGTCTAGTTAGCTTGTTCTAGTACAGTGGTGTTCAAGTCCTCTATTTCCTTACTGATCTTCTGTCTGGATGTTCTATCCATTGTTGAAGTCTCCAACTATGACTATAGAATTGTCCATTTCTCTCTCCAGTTCTGTCGTTTGCTTCGTGTATTGTGGGACTCTTCTGTTTGGTGCATATATGTTTATCACTGTTATATCTTCTTCATGAATTGATCCTGTTATCAATATATGGTGTCCTTATCTCTTTTTTCCCATGGAAAAACCCTCCTGCTTATTGGTCAAATAAAAATAAAATGATCTGCATGTATCTTTATCTCTTATAACAGTTTTTGATTTAAAGTCTATTTTGTCTGATATTAGCAGAACCACCCATGTTCCCTTTTGGTAGCTATTTGCACGGGATCCTTTTTCCATTCTTTCACTTTCAGTCTATTTGTATCTTGGAAACCAAAGGGAGTGTCTCCAAGGCAGCACATAGTTGGATCATGTTGGGTTGTTTTAATCAGTTCTGCCAATGTCTGATTTTGATTGGAGAATTTGATCCATTTGCATTAAAAAGTAATTACTGGTGAAGAAGGACTTATTTCTGCCATTTTCTCTTTATTTTCTGTACATCTTATGCCTTTTTGTCCCTCATTTCCTCCATGACTACCTTCTTTTTTTCTTCAGTGAAACATTTTGATTCACTTGTCATTTCCTTTGTAGTGTATCTTTTAGAATATTTTCTTTGTGGTTACCGTGAGAATACGTTTAACATCTTAAATTTATAAAAATCTACTTCAAATGGACACCAGCTTTTCTCAATAACATACATAGCCTATGATTCTAAACAGCTCTATCCCATGCCTCATGTGTCGTTGTTGTCACAAATTACATCTTTGTACATTGTGTGCCCAGTAACATAAATTTGTAATTATTTTTTATGCATTTGTCTTTTAAATCCTGTAGGTAATAAAAGGTGGAGTTACAACCAAAATACAAGAACACTGTTTTTTATAACTACCCATGATTTTGCCTTTAGCAGAGGTCTTTATTTCTCCCCATGGCTTTGAGTTACTATCTAGTGTCCTTTCATTTCAATCTGAAGGACTCCCTTTAGCATTTGTGCATGGCAAGTCTGGTGGCAACAGACTCCCTCAGCTGTTGTTTATCTGGGAATGTCTTAAATCCTCCCACATTTTTTGAAGATCAGTTTTGCTAGATACAGAATTCTTGGTTGACAACTTTTTTCATTCATCACTTTAAATATATCATTCCATTGCTTTCTGGCCTGTATAGTGTTTTTGATGAGACACTGGCTGTCACTCTTATTGAAGATCCCTTGTACATGTCAAGTCACTTCTCTCGTGCTGTTTTCAATATTCTGTCTTTCAACAGTTTGATTATTTAAGTGTCTTAGTGTGGGTCACTGAGTTGATCCTACTTGGAGTTCATTAAGCTTCTTAGATTTGTAGATTCCTATCTTTCATCAAATTTGGGAAGTTTTCAACAATATTTTTTCAAATATTCTTTTTGTCCCTTTCTCCCTTGTCTGAGATTCCTATAATGCACATATGGGACCCACTTAGAATGGGATCCCAGAGGCCCCTTGGGCTCTGTTCACTGTTCTTCATTCTTTTTTCTTTCTGCTCCTCATGTTAGATAGTTTCAATATTCCTATCTCCGCACTCTTTCTTCTTCCTGCTCAAATCTGCTATTGAACTCCTCTAAAGAATTTTTCTTCTCAAATATTATACTTTTCAGTATGAGACTTTATTTTGTTCCTTTTAATAATTTCTCTTTATTGCTATTCTCAGCTCATTCATACATTATTTTCCGGATTTACTTTAGTTCCATGTGCATGTTCTCCTTGAGCTCTTTGAGCATATTTAAGACAGTTCTGTTAAAGTCTTACTCTAATAATTCGGAAGTCTGGACTTCTTCAAGGATGGTTTCTGTCAACTAATTTTGTTCCTTTGAGTGGAACATACCTTCCTGCTTTTTTTCCTTGTGATTTTGTTGTTGCTATTGTTGAAAGCTGGTTGTAGTGGTTCCGCTTGTTTTTTGATGTTTCCATGGGGGGAGTAAGAGCTTGGAGCTGCCTTCTCTGCCATATTGTTGACATTCTTTCCTCTCCTTTGCCTTTGCTGGTCTGTTATTTTATACCTAAGTTCTGTATTTCATTAACTTTTGCTCCAATCTTCATCATATGCTACTCCACCTTTGCTGTTTGTCTGTCTTTGAGGTAGGCTGAATAAGATGTCCACTGCCCATTCCCCAAACTGTGAATGTTACCTTATATGACAACAGGGAAGTGGTAGGTGTATATTAACTTAAGGATTGAAGATGGAAGGATCATCCTGGATAGAAACTTGAATCTCAGTGGACTGAATTTTGAGGTTGTAACCCCCCAAAAAAGGGTTTCTCTCAATTCACACCCAGAAGATTCACAGTGACAGAGATCCACTTACCAACATGGGAAATGTCACAGTTACAGTATATATACTTTGACTGTGAATGAAAAGTCCATTTTATCGGGGTGGCCTGGGAGCAGGATGAACTTGCCCACTAGCCCTTCCAGCCCCTGCAGGGTCGGGGGAGGATCCCTGAGTCCAACGTGTAAACACCACAGCCGGCCAGGAGCCAGAACAACCATGAGATCACAGATGCCCCCCCCAGAGACCCTCGGGTCAGGGCACATCAACAGGCTCAGATGCCAAGGCCGAGCTGCATCCTGGCTGGCCTCTCAGCTTGTCTCTGAACACAGTGTGGGCACTGAGGACCCACGGCAGCCACAGAAGGCAACCAGAGGCCCTGGGACCCCCAAGAAGCTCTTGCATGGGCCGACAGGAGGACGTTCAGTTTTCAGGAATGTTTAAGTCATGATTCGAGTTTCCTCAGGAAGAAGGAAGGAGCCGTCCCCAAGGACGCTACCACCTGAATCACAGCAAGGATTTCTTCAGACTCGCTCCTGATGGTGTCCTGATGAGAGCCACAGACGAGGAGTCCAGAGCCAGTGGAGGACCACCTGGCGCCCAGCAGCTGCCCCAAGCATCTCACGAGGCCCCAGACACCCCGGCCCCGTCACACACCGGGCTCCATCAGCAGCCAGGCCTGGAGCACGTCCAGCCAGCTGGGTGGACACCACATGGCCAAGGTCAAAGGAGGCTGGATCTACCCAGGGGCCTCCATGACAGGACGCGTCAGACCCCCGGGCAGCGCCCACTTGGGAGCCATCCCGCCCTAGGCAGGGGCCCAGATGGGCAGGGGGTGAGCCTCGGTGTTGAACACGTAGGTGTCCAGGCTGAGCAGGTCCGGGTCGTCGGAGAAGAGCAGATACAGGTACTTGAGTGTCTCCCCCAAGAAGAAGCTCTCCATCTTGTCCCTGGGCTGGGGGTTGCGGGGGTCCTGGACGTTGCTGATGGAAGAGAAGCCGCCCGAGGGGACCTGCACGAGAGCCAAGGCGGCGGCCCAGTCACGGCTGCGGGCACAGCCCGCCCCCCACTCCCAGGCTCAGCCCTCGGGAGGGCACCAGCCAGAGACACAACCCCCCCCCCACCTCACTGCAGCACGCACGGCCTCAGGGCAGGTCTGCGGTGGAGGACACCAAGGTCCACAGGGGACCTGACCTGCTGCCCTAGAGGTCAGCTGCGCTTCCCCCAGAGACTCCTGGGAGATGACGGCTGTCCTCAAGTGACCAGATGGAAAGCGCCACACCTAGAACCCGGGAGAGCCCTTGCGAAGTCTCCGAGGTCACCCCACGGGTCCAGAACCCACTGCCTCACACCCCAGAGGGCAAAGGTCAACCCTGGCTCTGCCAGGGTGGGTGGTGGGCCCTGGGCACGGCATGACCTTCTCTGGGCCGTGGCCCTGACTAAAACGGGCAGCCGGGCCTGAGACAGTGGGGGCAGCGTTCTGGTCGTGGCACCCTTCCTGGGGAGCAGTGGTCCCAAAGTCGATGCCCGGGTGGAAAGGGCTGCCCATGCCACAGAGGATCCAGGAGGGACATGCTCTGTGCGCATCGGGCCACTGTAGGGACCCTCCCCACACAGGCTGGTGCCTCGAGACAGGACCAAGGGACACCCAAGGGCTTGAGACCCTGGGCGGGGCAACCTCAAGGCCACAGCAAGCATGCCCCTCCCTGATCCCTAGAGGAACTGCCCGGCCAGTGACCAGCGGGGAGCTGGGGACACCGATGGGGCGGCGAGCGAGGCTCACCCGCGTGTACGTGTTGAAGCTCTGCAGGATCTCCCAGCCCCAGTCCTGGTACTTGCGGTCCCCCGTGAAGCGGTACAGGTAGAACAGACTCTCCACCGTCTCGGGCCGCAACAGGTTGTGCCTGTCGGCCGGCTGGGGAGGAGACAGGCGCAGGTGAGCCCCCGTGGTGTCCCCACCCGGGGCTGACCCCGGCCGCGGCTCACCTTGACCTGCACGTCCTTTTGGGTCGTCTGGGGGTACAGGTTGAAGTGCACGATTTCGGGGCTCAGGCCTGTCTCCATCTGACGGTTCATCTGGTAGCAGGTGTCCATCAGGGCCTGGGCCAGCTCCATGTGCTCGGCAGGCAGGCCGTGGTGGGCGCCCAGAGCCAGTGTGCCTGGCAGGAAGCACACCAGGTGGTCCTGAAATCAGAGGGTCTCCTCAGCACCGCTGAGCCTGAGGCTGCACGGGGCTCAACGCCGGAGCCACCAGGCCTGAGTGGTGTTCTCGACGTCCTCAACGGCAGGAGCACCACTGGTGACTGAACTACAGGCCAAGCGCTGGGGGTCAGCGTGGGCAGGGGAGAGGCCGGTGCAGGGACACCCGCCTCCCGGGGAGCAAATGCTGACCCAGGCCGTCCCCACTCCTCCACCCTCCTCCATAAACACCAAGGGACCAGGGGCTGCAGGAGGGCTGGGGGTGGGGTCCTGGGGGAGGGCCCCTGGCACGTCACAGACCTCAGATCCTCCAGCCACCATGGGCTAGGCAGGTCACGCAGCCAGCGTCTACCTGTCCCAGCTCACATCCACGGCCAGAATTGCACTGTTCTCTCCCACGTCCAGACTCATGAAGCCATCAGGCGTCAAGGACAAACGGGTGTGTCTCGAAGCTCCCCCCCAGGCCCTGCTTGGACCACACACATGCTCACCATCTTGGCACTGAAGCGGCCGTGGGTGAGTTCCCCCACAAAGGTGAGCTTCCTGGGTTCAGATTTGTGCAGCAGGTGCCTTTTGATGCCCTCGATGCCTGCAATGTAGTCTTCCAGTAACCTGTGGAGACCAGCAGGTCTGGTCTGCCCAGGCCAGGCGGGTGCACAGCCCCTAGTTACCCGGGAACAGGCGCATAACCATGAGCTGCCATCCGCACGCTAGGGGCCCGAGGCCCGGCCCTGCCTGGGCAACAGCACGGAGCCTGGGGGTGGAGGTCTGGGGCAGGGCAGCCCTTCTGCCCTTGAGAGGGCCTGTTCCTCTCAACCAGCCGAGACCAGCCTCTGCAGAGCTCCAGGCTGTGCTGAGAAGGAATACATTCCCCCATGGAGGGTCCAAGACCGGGCTTGGCACGGCCGCTGATTCCCACCCAGAAGCCCAGGACAAGCAGAGCCTCAGGGGGCCCGCCCAAGGCAGCAGAACAGGCCTCACTGCGTCTCCTTCTTGCCGCCCTGGATCCACTGTTTCAGCAGGTACTCGTAGTAGCTGTCGGCCCTGGCGCCCAAGGTGAACACTCCCGTGTGGGTGAAGAGGCCAGTGTGTGTGTTGATGAACATGGGTACCAGCCCGTCCTTCTTCCCGGACAGGGAGTGAACGTGCCTCGTCACCTCCTCTGCGGCCTCCTGGGGCAGACACGGGGAGAGTGCAGGTGAGCGAGGGCGCAGAGCTCTGGGCCAGCTGCAGAGCAGGGCTGCCTGAGGCCTGCCCTCCTCATGACGGGTGGCTTCCCGGTGGAGGAGTGAGCAGGCCGGTCCTGGCCCACGGCATCCCTCAGGCACTGCCCTTGGCAGGGGTTTCTGAAGAATGGCCCACACCACACAGCAACCAGGTCCATCTGCTCAGACACGGCCACCTCGATGGGTCGGCTGGCACCACTGGCCCTGAGAGGGCTGAACTCGCTCTCCCGACAGTTCCCAAGCCTCATTAAAGGAGTACCGTGTCTCAAACAACAGCCACTGTTCTCAGGACCACCGGCCAAGGCACGGCCACCTGCTCCCCCTTCCTGGAGGGAAGGCCGGCACGTCTGCTTCCGAGCCCGGGTTGCTGCTAAAGACGTCAACCACCCTGACTCCTCGTCCACCTGGGGAACTCCTACTGGTCCTTCAAGACCCAACCCACCTCAGCTCCTCCGAGCCACCTGTCCGGCCCGGGCAGCACCGCGCATCTGTGCTCCCAGGGCTCTGTGCACATTTTCCCACAGTGCTCAGGACCCTGCACCCGCGAGATTTCCTGTCTCTACCCTACACGTCCACCACCACTGAGGGCTCCTCTGAGGTTGGCTGCTTCGTTCCACTTTGCCTCCAGCTACTGCAGAGACCCGGAACATGTGGGTGCCTGGGGACGTCTCAGGAGGAAGTAGCGAAAACGCCGAGTTTTTGCATTACAACTCAACAACAGAAAGAAGGCTTCTCCAGTCAATAAACAGACCTGAACACACATTTCCACACAGAGGTAAACAGACGGCCAACTGGCACATGGAAAGCTGCTGCACGGTTCACCATTATTTAATCAAAGCCCAAATCAGACGCCATTCCACACCCACTAGGATGGCAATGGTGGAAAGGACAGAAATAACAAGTGCGCCAAACTGTGGAAAAGCGGAGCCTCGGGCACTGGCAGGACCTGTGCACAGGAGCACTCTGCTTACTCTCCCCGAGTCACAACAACCCAGGCGTTCATAAGCTGCTGTCTGGATGACAACACGTGGCTCACGCACGCTATGGGGTACGGTGCCCGTAAAAACAAAATTCTGACACGTCCTACAGCGTGGACATACCTTAAAACAAATGACCCACATCATAGGATTTCATTTATACAAAATGTTCAGAATAGAGAAATCTACAGAGACGAGGCCACTGTGTTTCCTGGGGCGGAGGCATCGGAGAACGGGAGGGACGGCTGATGGGTTCTGGCTTTGATTTCAGGTGAGGAAACAGTTCTGCAATTAGACTGGTGATGCCGGCAGACGTGTGAGTACGCTGCAGTGTACACGTGGAAAAGCGAATTTCTTGATATGTGAATTCTACCTCAACGTAAAAAAAGAGGAACACAGAATGGGATGGAATGCCCATTTCAGAAGCACCCCCACATACTGGAAGTTCTCCCACGAGAACAGCGACGCCTCCAAAGGGGTGCAAGGTTAAGGCATAAAACATTTCAACAATGGGGCAGCTGCCAGAGTCCAGCTTCAGCAGAGTCCAGGTTCCTGAGGGAGAGACAGAGTCGGCGAAGTGAAAGGAAGAGACGTGAGACTTGAGTTGGTGCAATCCAGTCTGTCTTTACTGTGCACAAGTGTCGTTTTCATATTTTTCAGGATTAGTACAGAAATAGCTCTACAGATATTTTCAGAGAGATAAGGAAGTACAAAGCGAGCACAAGAATTTTTATTAGCATTCCATTCTATAGAGCATAAGGTTAATGATCATATTTTCCACAATTAACTACTATTTATTCTCTCTACACAAAACCAAAACACTCACTCCCTGCCCACCCTCCGGCCTCCTGGCTCCAGAATCCACCATCCTCCATGGAAACAGACACCATCAAGGACAAGCACCTGGACCATCTCCTCCCACAAAGAGACATGGGCTGGTGGGAAAGCTACTGGCCAGCAAGGTCATAGGCTTCCTCCTCTCTGCAAGCGTCTCAAGGCCAAAGACAGGCTGGTGGGAAAGCTCCGACCAGCAAGGCCATATGCTCCGTGCGTTCTCAGTTGGCAGTTAAAAATCTTTACATTCCTGCGCCCCTTAGAGGGTGAAAGCATTCTTTTGTCTTTCTCGGGGTAGGACTATTTGTCCTTGAGCACACTGCCTGGAGAAAATATCATTTTACTGGTAAGGCATCAGGCTGAAGAGCTAAGTTAAACTACATAGAGCAGAAACAAGTATAGTCATAACCTTGATAGAAAGCATGCATACATTTCAGGAAATATCAGGGGTGTCAGCCACTCTTCACCGAGGGGCGTCCCTGCGCCCCCCAACCCTTCTCAGCCCGGACCCTGTCAGACGGATGTATAGGCGTCGGTAACACGGCTCCTGGCAGGCAGCAGTTAGAAAACAAACGTGGATCGCGCCTTCACTCCACATACCGCATGCCCACTACATCACACACAGGGTTCCAGCAAGACAGAACCCCACTCCCAGCAGTCCACCGAGGACAGACGCCCACCCGAGCCCAGGTGCCCATTCCAGGTGCTGCTCCAGGTTCCAGCACCACGGGAGGCCAACGGCGGGATGACTGCAATGTCACCAGCACAGAACTGGCTAAAAAACACCAGCATCTCAACACATCCAACACCACGCAGCCATGAGCAAGAAGGCCTCCCGCACTGGCACAAAGGAGGCTCCAGACACACTGCCGGGGGACTCAGGGCCAAGCAGGGCACTGCACGACAAGCTGTCAGCTCTGTCAGGGCCCTAAGGACACGCACTGCACCAGGGCAGGGCTGGGGTAGAGGACTTGCTCACCCTCCAGCCAATGCCTTCCATGCCTGGGCATCTCTTATCAATGAGAAAATGGGACTCTCTAAGAAAAAGCTTTTAAGAAAAGGACAGGGTCTTGCGGCCCAGGGTCAACGTCCTCACAAACCCGCACTTCCCGCGACAAGCCACTGAGCGCTCCCACAGGAATCCCCGCTTCAGCCAGGTCCCAGCCCCTCCGTACCTGAAACTTCTTAACTCCCGTGAGACGGGAGAGCTCTCGGAACTCCAGCTGAATGCTCGTCACCTCGGCCACCGTGCTGTCCGAGGTCCAGCGCGGCGGGTGGGCAACCCCAGTGCCGATGTTCACATCAGAGTATGGAATCTTGGAGGGCGTTTGGAAGGCGGGCAGCAGCCGGTTCCCAAAATCTTCCTGAGACACAACACAGCGAGCAATCAGCGCTCCCAGTCAGAGTGGCCTTGTCTATGCTTCACGGTGCTAACCCGTCACCCATTTTCATCCAATTCAGTGGAGACACACCAGTTGGGTGGCACAAGTGAGCTGGCGCACTGGGCTCCCAGCGCACTTTCCTGCAGGGTGCAGCGTGGGAGGCAGCGCTGCGTCAGCTCACGCCCACAAAGCACACTCCAATGGACTGGAGGAGAGAAAACCGGAAACGGCCACCCAGGGTCCCACCAGCGAGGGCACGCTGCTAATACCCGAGCCTCATCTCCCTGTGGGGCAGCTGCCCTCCTGGCGCAAGGACACTCACCGCTTTCTCCAGGAAGAGGTGGTCCCCAGACAGGTGGTAGGCGCTCAGAAGCCCCCCAAGGATGCGGATGGTGCTCTCAAACAGGTTGACGTCAACATCCTTCTGAAACACTAACTTCTTGGACACCCATGTCCTGGCTTCTTTAAATTCTATGACATGAAACAGTGGAGGGTCGGGAACACAGTCCTGGTGTTCCTGTGTGATCTGTCACTCCTGCGTGTTAACTTGAAAAGCCTCAAAACAAATTCATTCAGGAACAGCCATTGAATTGTCATTCAGGAAACGGGTGCTAGGGGAACCACAGGCAAACCTGCACAACACAAGAGGGAGCTGCTTTTATAGAGAAAAGGGGGAGAGGGCGGGGCTGCTCTAAAGGGAAGTCCACTGGAGGAGAGGAACACATCAGGGCAGGAAAGGCTCCTCATTGGCTGGGCTGCAGCGTTTCTGATGGCTGGGCTGTTGCAGGGTGGGAGAGAAATCTTCCCTCAGAAGTAAGTGGTTTTACTTCCTTTCTGAGATGCAAGTCTGTCTCCCTGTTTGGAGTAATTGATGATGTGTGATGGGGGTGAGAGCTGCCCCGTGTGTCTTTTCCATCCACTTTAGTTGAGGTTTCTTTTATTAATTTCCACATTTCCCCTTTTGATCAAGATGTTTCTCTGAAAGCATCACTGATCAGCAGTCAGGTTCTCTGCTTGTAGTGGTCTTGTCCCTTGGTGCCAGGAAGGACCCTTCCTGGGTGTCGTGTCCGTGTTGGAGATAAAGTACATAGTGGTTGGAGACCATTTAGGCCACGTTTGAGTAACAAGGAAGGTTAGGAGGGAGAACTCTCAGGCATTTCCCATACGAAGTCTATATTTCTCCAAGGTCATAGGTGATGGAGATTATCTCGAAGTGCCTTATTGGGCATGTCAGTTTTACAGAGGTTCGACAGGCAACAGGTAAAGAATTCACTACAAGTGTACAGAGTGAGATTAAGAGCAGTGCTATAAGCCCAGTCTGCAGGACGGTTCTGAATCAGGAGCACAGGCCAGGTAACCAGCTGAACCAATCAAAAGACTGGATAGTGAGGTGACATTTGTTGAGGCCACTGTGCTTGCTCTCTAGTCTTCTGTAACTGGGTTTCTACTTTCCCAGAGGCATTCGTCCACGGGCAACAGGAGGTGTTCACCCCTGCACAGACACCTCCTTGCTCAGCATGTATGTGATCCGGGGCTATACGATTATCCAAAACTACCTTGATCAATGAGTTAAGCGACCATTATTGAGCTGAAATTGCTTTTGCTGAGGGGTCAGCCAAGTGTCAGGGAGAGCAACAACATTTGTTTGCTGACACTCACTCTGATCCAGGGGAAGAAAGCTCTTTCTTTGGAGGCAAACCCAGACTCGCATACGCCTCCTGGGAGTTCTCATTTAGGGTGACTGTGGAGATTCAATGGGAGAGATCAATGGAAGCTCTCTTTGGTTATGCAGAGAGAACAGGACATTGAATCTGGCAAAGGCACACCATCCTTGTATTCTCCAGCTGTCAAGGTAACGAGTTGCCCAAGCAGGAAGGCCATTACTGAAACCTCCACGTAACCAGGGGTGTGCATAAGGCTCCCACGTAAGTGACATCATCTATAGACTCGTTCATCGGCCTAGGGTGTTAGTGTTATATGACCAAGGCTCAGGTACTGTGTTGTTACATACCAAGAGATTGCCTAAATAGGACGTTCAGAAATATACGAACAATGTGACTTACATTGATGGTCCCGTAAAATTTTTCATACAAATATTCAAAAGATCTTGTCTTCTCCACCCAAGGCTGGGTCAAATTAAAGCAAGGAATGAGTTTAGACAGGCTTAGCACCCTCACTCCATAAAATGAGCCAGCAAAACAATTAGACAAACAATGGTATCTGGAATCCTAGTGAAATTACTTTCTGGGTGCACTAAGGGGTCATTACTGCCTTGGGCAGCCTGAGTTTCTGATGGCAAATCCAGCAATCAGAGAGGTTTCCCCTTTTTGTGAGGAATTGGAAAGCTCAGACAAGAGCATTGTCCTTCCAGGAAAGAGAGAAAAAATAAAGAAAAACAGTGGGTATACAGGGCTGGTCCAGTCCTGTTGGGAAAGCTGTTGCCTCAGAGGTCAGCTGCTTCAAATCCTGGTGAATTTTACCCTCACATCACTGGATGGAGTGCAGGTCCACTCAGGGTCTGGTGCCTTTTTCAGGTGCGACATGTGGATCCAGGAGTCCACTCCCTGGAGTTTGGTGGCACAAGGGTTAGTCGACCGTACCTGACAGAGCCCTTCCAGTGAGGCTGGAGAGAGTCCTTCTGAGGTGTCTTTTCCAGTAAACAAAAGCTTCAGGTTGTAGAGTGTGATGCTTAAGGCCTTTGTCTCCTGGGGTGCACTGTGAAAAGACTGCTCGACGCAAGTATGGTTATTTTCATCCGAAGCAGTTAGGCCTTTAAGATACTGAAGCATGTCTCCCTTTACCTGCTGAGGATCGAGAGAAGCAGAAGCCAAGCACATTGCGCGACCTGTGATTACTTCAAAGGCTGCGAGTTTATGCGTTCCTCAGATTTAGGAGGGCCAGTGGAAGTGGCCAGGGTATCTGAAGGGTTTCCACAGACTTTGTTTACTGAGTCTTAAAGCTGTTGGTATGTTTGAACAGCCCAGAGGGTTGAGGATTATCAGCACAGCGAAAACGCTGCAGAGCTGGCCAAACAGCACAGACCTGTGGAGGCACTTGACCCATGAAATGAGTTTCTGGGTCACTATGATGTTCAGGGGGGTTCCCCAGGTGGGATAATCTTTTATAACAGAATTTTAGGCACAGAATAAGCAGTAGCCTGTCTATAAGGGAGAGCGTCAGTCCAGTGAGAAAAGATACAGACCATGACTGAGGCATACTGACATCCATGAGACAGAGGAGTTGTATAAAATCCATTTACCAAACCTCGAATGATGTGTTGGACGATTGAAAGTTTCCAAGGAGCCGAGTGGCCAGGTTTCCTGAACTGTGTTTGGGCAGGTAGGGCGAGCAGATAGGCATGTTTTGCAGCTCTCCTAAGATTTCCCTCCAGTACTGGTGCATAAAGCTTACCATTTTTTTCTGTAGACCAATGATGTACACTGGTTAGTAAGGGGAATTTTAGAGTTTTTGATGGGACTTTGTTGTTATTTGGCCCAAACCAGAGCCTTCTCTCTCTCTTTTTTTTGTTTCTTTTTTTTTATTAATGTTATGATAGATTACAACCTTGTGAGATTTCAGTTGTACATTATTGTTAGTCTTGTTGTGGGTACACCACTTCCCCCTTTGTGCCCTCCCCCCAACCCCCCTTTCCCCTGTTGACCATGGATCAGTTCTCCTTGTCTATATGTTATCTTCCACCTATGAGTGGGGTCATATACAGTTCGTCTTTCTCTGTCTGGCTTATTTCGCTTAGCATAATACTCTCGAGGTCCATCCATGTTGCTGCGAATGAACCAATTTTGTCCTTTTTTATGGCTGAGTAGTATTCCATTGTGTATATATACCACATCTTCTTTATCCAATCATCAGTTTCTGGGTATGTAGGTTGGTTCCATGTCTTGGCTATCGTAAATAATGCTGCGATGAACATAGGGGTGCAAGGGACTCTTGGGATTTCTGATTTCAGGTTCTTAGGATAGATACCCAGTAATGGGATGGCTGGGTCATAGGGTATTTCTATTTTTAACTTTTTGAGAAATCTCCATACTGTTTTCCATAGTGGCTGTACCAGTTTGCATTCCCACCAACAGTGTATGAGGGTTCCTTTTTCTCCACAACCTCTCCAACATTTGTCACTCTTGGTTTTGGATGTTTTTGCCAATCTAACGGGTATAAGGTGATATTTTAGTGTAGTTTTGATTTGCATTTCCCTGATGATTAGCGATGATGAACATCTTTTCATGTGTCTATTGGCCATACCTATATCTTCTTTGGAGAAATGTCTGTTCATGTCCTCTGCCCATTTTTTGATCGGGTTGTTTGTTTTTTTGTTGTTAAGCCGTGTGAGTTCTTTGTATATTATGGAGATTAACCCTTTGTTGGATAAGTGGCTTGTAAATATTTTTTCCCAATTAGTGAGCTGTTTTTTTGTTTCAATCCTGTTTTCCCTTGCCTTAAAGAAGCTCTTTAGTCTGATGAAGTCCCATTTGTTTATTTTTTCTATTGTTTCCCTCAACTGAGGAGTTATAGTGTCCGAAAAGATTCTTTTGAAACTGATGTCAAAGAGTGTACTGCCTGTATTCTCTTCTAGAAGACTTATTGTTTCAGGTCTAATCTTTAGGTCTTTGATCCATTTTGAGTTTATTTTGGTGTGTGGTGAAAAAGAATGGTCAATTTTCAATCTTTTGCATGTGGCTGTCCAGTTTTCCCAGCACCATTTGTTGAAGAGACTTTCTTTTCTCCATTGTAGGCCCTCTCAGAGCCTTCTCTTTTTATCAAGCCAACAATTGCTGAATTTCCAATCTTGCTTTTCCTTTTCTGAAGCCAAATGTTGGGCTTTCTAGCCAGTTTTTCCAAGCTGTCATTTGGAGAAGCATCCCTTTGGGCCATGGCAGGGGTTTGGCTACTGTCTGCTCCTTTCAGAGCAGCATTCTTTGCAGAAGTGTCAGCAAAGTGATCTTCCCTAGCTTCCCGAGAGTCAGCTTTAGGACGCCTGTGATCTTAGGAAGCAGCGGGTGAGGCTAAAGCAGCGGGTAAGGCTAAAGCAGCGGGTGAGGATAAAGCAGCGGGTGAGGATATCACATGCAGTGGTGCTGAACACCAGGACTATTTTTAACGTTACCCCACTGGAAGGGAGGAGACCATGTTGCTTCCACAGCATCCCAAAATCCCAGGCAACGCTGAAAAGTGCACCTGCTATCAGTATAGATGTTGGTGGTCCTGCTCTTGGCTGGGATACAGGCCTGTGTAAATGCACATAATTTGGCTTGTTGGGCCATAGTAGCTAAGGGCAAGGGTGCGACTCCAATTATATCAAAAGGCACTGATAGCACATATCCAGCACAATATTTACCATTGTCACTCTTTAAATAAGACCCACCAGTAAAGCATGAGATGTCGGTGTTGCTCAGAGGAGCTTCTTGTATGTCGTCAGGAGGAGTCAGGAGGAGGCCTGTCAGTGTTAAGCAGTC